TATAAAGGGGTAATTTTATATACATTACATATGTACAGTATATACGTATACTATATAATGCATCAAAATAATTGATGGTGAAATGGGCTTCTTAGGAATTGGTTGCTGTTGGTGAACTTCGAGTAGCGAACTTTTCTGATTCTGATTTTAAAGAAATCAAACATGAAATAAATGTTCTCAAGTAAGTTTTTACATATATACGCTCATGAGATATTCGTTTCTTTACTAATTAATTTAATTAATTTGATAAAAATATATATATATGAATTTGCAAATATTCATAAAAAAGGCAGCTACGACATGAAAATATTATACAATTCATCGGTGTATCTACAAATACAAGACATTTATGTATTATTACGGAATTATGTGAAAATGGTGATATGTTTGATTTCATGAGAGCATATCCGAAACCATTGTTTAGTCAACAGGTTGGGTATAATTTTTATTAAATTCGAATTTAATTAACCATATAAATGTCACATGAATTATATGGCATGTTTTTTTTGTGATATTATGTGATCTATAATCCATGTGTCATTTAACTATTTGACCTTCAGATGGCAGAATATTTAATTAAAAAACAAGAGCTTTTAATCACTTTTTGATTGTTTTCGCGTTTCTAGATAATGTATATGCATGACATCGCCCTAGGTGTTACTTACTTACACACACGACGTCCTAGTATTATTCATAGAGTAAGTTGAGGCTCGTTTATAAGCAATCCAAATGAATTTTTGACAATAATCCTATTGGTTTTATTATTAGGATTTAAAATCGATGAATATCTTGGTAAGTATTCTTTATTAAATGTCTTTATTAATCTTATTTTTGCTCATTTTTTAATTGACTTTAAATTATTATTAGATATCTAGTGATTTAAAAGCAAAAATTAACGATTTTGGCCTTGCCCGTATCCGACCTAGAAATGCGAGCATGCATACACAATGTGGTACTCCAAATTGGCAAGGTAATCAAAAGTTATAGATCTTAAAAAAAAATCTTAAAATCTTAAAAAAAGATTACTTATATATAATTTTCTACAGCACCTGAATTTTGGACATCTAAACCAAGCTATACCGAAAAGGTATAAGAGTCGACTAATTTTTACAGTATGTCTGTTATATGATATAACTCCGCGGGTAACATTTCTTATTCAATAATATTGCTTTTATTTACTTTGGTAATGGTTAACCAGGTTGATGTAAGTATTTTCTTGTTATCTGGCATGATTTGACGGCATCGACAGGATAATAATAGCAAAAGCACATGGCCGAAGGCCTCGTGCGTTGCAATTATACTGTCGATCCAGATAACTAGTTTATCTGGCAGGTATGACGTATAAATTACGGAAAGAATTTTATATTACTTCCGCAGATTTTTATATTAAAATTAATAAGAATTTGTCACATGATTTTAATAAAAATTTGCGGAAATAATGTAAAATTTTTTCCGTTAGTGTTTACACAGTACCTGCTGGATAAGTTTTGTAAACCTTCTTAAACCTCATAAATTTATAGACGTTAATATTATCTACCTTATAACAGGTATATGCTTGTGGTCTTATATTTTGGGAAATTATGACATGGGCTGAACTTGGATACCCGTATCAAAATTTTTCTGAACATCAATTGTACGAAGCAGGTATACATCACAGCATTACCAATATTATATAATAATAATTTTTTTTTTGCGAATTATTCAATAATAAATTCTATTTTCATGATTCACCAGTACGAGATAGAGGAGTTCGCCCAAGCTTGGAAACTTTAAGAATATATCCAGTCAAATTATTAAGTTTGGTTGAGGATATGTGGAATTCTAACCCAAAAAATGTAAGAATTACTTATTACCATTTTTTTTGTTTTTATGTAGTTAATTATTTCTTTTTATTTCCTAATATGTAATTCTTAATAAATAATATAGAGGCCTAGCATGGGTGTTGTTGTTGAAAAACTTGCAGAATTTCTATCTTAAATTCATTTATTTGAAATTTTGAGACTTATTGAACTTATTTGCTCATCCATATAACTATTGCAAATTACAAACATTTATTTAATACGAGCATTGAAAATTTTAGTATATATTTTTATATTCAATGGAAAAAAAAAATTCATTATTACCTCATTTGTTCATCATAGTATATATTTCGGAAAAACGGGAGTTATTTGTGTAAACCTGTTTTCATTAGTTTTAAATTAACAAACACCAAGTATATTCAAAAAAAAAATAAAAATAAATACTGACTGTGTATAAAATTTTGTTGATAAAAGTATGAATCGATGAGTATATAAACGAGAATTCTATGGCTTAAAGTCGCAATCACATGGCTTAAGGTAATAGTTTTGGGTGACTTTGGTCAAGACAGAGTTTTCCTTATCGTTAGATAAATAATAATTTTGTTAATAATAATGAGAATACGAGAATATGGATAGATGAAGATTAAAATATGAACTTAAGCTGTATTAGATATTTATTACATATATATAGGTGCATATATTGGTGTTGCATGAAGTAATAACACTAATGTGTAGCTACGAGATTGGACATCCAAGAATTATTTCAAAACATGGTTAATTATCCTCTTTGATTTTTTTATTAAATCCCGTGATATAACCCCAACTCTGTTATCTCCCCGTCTAATATCCAAAGTTTTTAAAGGAGGCTTTATATGTTCCACCAAGGCTTTAAAATGTCCTTCTGTAAAACAATTGCAATAACGAAGTCCTAAAAAATCGATTCTTGTTCTGATTTTACTAATAAATTCTATCAATGCAATTTCAGAAAATTTCCAATTCATATTAACCTTAAATTCGATTAAATGTGGTGGAAATTTTGTGGACATTTGAGGAAGTATTGATTCAACGTCTGTGACACTTAATTGAGAGATTTGTTGAAAGTCATTATCGGGTGAAGTATTTATATCCCAAATTTCGAAACTAATTAATTTTTGGCATGTTGAAAAGAAATTAGGAAGATTGGAAACTTCGGAAGTGTGAATATAAGCTGAAAATTTTAAAAGATTTGGATTATTGAGGGTACATCTTTGTATCGTATTTTTTAAGATATTTCTGATAGGAGAATGAGATCTTTGATCCAATTGAAGATATTTCAACGATTTACCAGCATTCTTTAGTATCTTGCAAAGGATCGAAGTAGGGAATGGAGTTAATTCGATTGAAAGTCTAAACAATTTTCCGAATGACTCAGAATCGATGTCTTCATAATCTTTGCGACCAAAGTTTTGACATCGATCAAAATACAACTCTCGAAGATTTGTACATTCGGCTAGTAATAAAAATGGAAATTCTCCTTTAAAATCAACCCACCCAAGTTTAACCCGTGATAAAGTTGAAGTATGATCAATTAATGATTCAAAAACTATTCGAAAATCTAAAACACCAGATTGATCTCGTGTTCCACATTGACCACATTTTGGGTGTTCGTTAATCAGAATAAATTCTTCTAGAGATTTTTGCGAACGTACGAGACTTACAAGATCATTAATTCTTTCAGATGCAGCTAAATCAAGTCTTGGTATATGATTACTAATAGTGATGTCGAGAGTTCGAACATTCTTTGAAACTTTGGATGCTGTAACGAATAACCGAGTTGGATAATCTTGATCAATAACAACCAAAGATTTTAATTTGTAAAGACTTGATGTAGCACCAGAAAGTTCAAAAATATTTATCTTATTGCTTGTTTCACATTCCAATAATTCTAGATTTCTAGCATAACGAATAAAAAATCGACAAAATGTTTCATAAATTATTTTAAAATCAGTGGAAATATTTGGTTTATTTCTCAACCAATTTGTAGTAGCATAGCTAAGGTTTTCTGTTTTTAACGATCTAAGATGTGATACATAATCATGGGAAGGTTGTTTTTCATATTTAATAATAAATTTGTCATTAATAAATAACTCTCTCTCTTCCTTAGGAAAATGAGAAATATAAATATCAAGAAGTTTTGTCGCAGGTTCAGACCACCATTGACGTTCGAAAGGGTGTCTCCATAAAATTGAAATTGCTATGTCAGACCAATGTCGGTTGACTAAAATACATGAGAATAAGTGAGAATAAGAAGTTGTTAAATCTAATGGAAGTAATTCTTCAAAAATGCGTTGGAGACATAATAGTGGCAGCTTTGCAGCCATCAGAGTTATTTAAAAAAAAACCAATGATCTGTTTAATTGTGAACAAATTAAAAAAAGTGCTGAAGGAAAGAACTCATTATAGATATTATATACAAAATATATGGATTATATACAGTACATATAAAGAATTCTTTATTACAGTATTAATTTTCATTGTAACGGTTAATCTTGATAAGGTGGTTTAACATGTTATTTACTGTATGTATGTATTAAATATATATATATATATATATATATATATATATATATACACATATATATATATATATATATACGTATACACATATATATTGAATTTTGACACGCATATACTATTTACCGCTAGTTCAACTTTTATATTTATTTCCTAAAATTACCTATCAAAAATTCCAAACGAATGGAATAAATGCCCAAATCAGTAACAAGGATTAACGTGTCAAACTTGTATTGAGGTGTTTAGATTTTCTTAATAATGTGCAAATTGAAATTTTAGATATCTTATCTATCAATATTCTCTAAACTAAAAACGTCTCATGATTTAATCTTTTGTTGTATGTGACGTAGTAAAAGTCTTTCAATAAGGTTGATAATGATCTGTCGATCATGATTCATATATGCTAATGTACTGTAAAAATTTTTTTTAAAAAAAAATTGAATAATAATAAATAAAAGTGGGCATCCATCACGAACTTTTTTTTTATAAGATTACTAGGTGAAATGCTACATGAATCTACATAATCTTATGTGACTAAACATAATATCTTACAAATATTTTATGAATTCTACGGACTTTCAGTAATACTACACAAAAAGAAGCGTAAATTGTTAAGTGACTTTACGCTTACATAAATTTACATTAAGCAACTACATAATATTATTGTCATTTATGTAATGCTACGTGAATATATGGACCTTCGAAGTTTGTGATGTCAACATCAACATCATATCTCATGCTTCATTTTCTGGAAAAATCTCATTAAAACCTTCTTAGATTCTCATTTCGAAAAACTAGACATCTTCTGGTATATCATAACTTTATATATATTGCATACAATTTCCAGCAAAAGTAAACTGTACCACCTATCAATTCATTACTTTTCTTCTTTCAAATAAAGTTTCGATAAAAAAAAAAATCTTTTTTATTGTGAATACAATGTGCAAAAAAAGAATAAATATATATTTAGTATGGAACGAAACAATTAGGATCTAATATTATAGGTGGGCTTTCATATGTTAGCTAATATGTTTTTGTAATGAAATTCACGAATATAAATTTAATAATATAATCTGATTATATGATACACTACACCGACAATCACTTCACCGACAATTAATTCATCGACAAGTTCATTTCACTGAAAATCAATTTACCGACAAGTTCATTTCACCGAAAATTAATTTACCGACAAGTTCATTCCCCGACAGTTATTTCACCGACGCTCATTTCGCCGGCAATTATTTTTATAAATTGCACTAACCTTAACTCTAATTCTAACCTGACCCAACCAAAATAACCAGAATCACTTTGTCGGTGAAATAACTGTCGGTGAAATGAACTTGTCGGTGAGTTACAGCTGTTATCATAAAATTTGGGACAAACTAAAAATTTGTTCGCTTCCCGAAATCTCTTCGGTTTCGTCCTAAAGGTCACCTAACTCTTCGGAATCACATCATTGTATTCAGAACTTCATTCCGGAGACAGCGATGTATTTTCCGAAGAGTTAGATGATCCATGGGACGAAACCGAAGAGATTTCGGGAAACGGGCAAATTTTTAGTTTGTCCCAGAATTTATGAGATTGTCGTTGAACTAAGCTGTCGGTGAAATGCGCACCACCCCACTAGGATTATGTATCTCCAATATTATTTAATAAAACAAATGTACGATTAACTTTTATGTCCCTTTACCATTTAGCCAGTGTTGAATATTCGGCACAAATGTGCGAAAAAACTTTTTATGCAGGAATGTTATTTATTTTTTTATGCATACTACACAATAATTGTTAATTTTTGTGCACAACGAATTTTCAACACTGTCATTTAGCACCGCACGCAATATCTCCCGGATTTATTAATAGTACGTGATACTATTCAATTCTAAAAAATGGTACTTTATGTAGTACTAAACGACAATTATAATATCCTTAGTAACATCGTAACGGTAGAGCAAGAAGCAGCATCAATCGATGATCCCCTTCCTGCTTGGCCGTTAAAGGAGAGAAATGTTGAAAATGATGCTCTTGAGTTTTATAAAATTATGAATTTGATATTGGTCTTACTCATACTCGTTATAGTGAACTCTCGTGATCTCTCGTGATAGTAAACCTCTTGTTATAGTGAAGAACAGTTTATATAAAAACCCTTTCGATACAGTGAAGAAAATTTCACAGTCTGATCACTTCACTATAACAATAGTGGCCTGTACTTCCATTTTACTCATGAGCGGAAGGGGTTGTAGAACGTGACGGGTGACCCTCACAAATGCTTCTATCCATTTGATCTGCTGACCATTAACGGCGTATAGTATTATCAGGCAGGTATAGTGAATTGACCCGTCTAAAAAATCTTCACGGGTCACCCATGTCAATTAAAAAACAAGCCCAGGTGATTAATGTCCCGAAAATAATACGTTGTTCTAAAAGTGATAAAAGTTTTTCAATGCATCCATATCGTTAAAAGTGTTTCAAGTTATATTTACATCAATATATCAACTTATTGAATCTATTCACAACTTAATTGAATCGGCAAAAAATCACTCGGTCAATTTTTATCAGGTGTCCCAGAAATTATGATAATAGCTTCAAGCAAATGGGGGTGAGTCAATAGAAATCAAGCAAATTTTTTATAATAAAATTTTTTTATAACTTTAAACAAGAATAACTT